GGGGGGACGCTCGGCGGCGAGCCCCAGAGGGGAACGCAGCGTGGGCGGGGCTTCCCAAAGGCTCGCACTGCGAGGCGGGAATTCATCGCTCAACCTTGAGCGATCGTGGCTCGTTCCACCTTGAACGATCGGCGGCGCTTCGATCGCCAGATCGCTCCAGAATGGCAAACTCTGGGCCGAGGTGCGAGGCGGGAATTTATCCATATCCACCGCCTGGGAACCCGCGGTGGACATGGATATATACATTTTGGCCCCCCGGGGGCCGAAGATGTCCATATCCACCGCCTGTGAAGGTCCGCGAAGATCGCCCCCCCAGGCGGTGGTTATGGAGAAATTCCCGCCTCGGACAGAAGGCCTCCGGCCTTCTGAAAAGCTTTCCAACCCCTCTCCGAAGACACGGCCGGCCTCTCAGAATGCGCGACGGCTTCTGAGAAGCCACGCCGCCTTCTGAGAAGGCCTGCCCTCGCTCAGTTCCGCCTCGTCGCCGAGATGTCAGAGGAGGGGGCGGGGGAGTTGGAAGTGACGAGGGAAGGGAGTGGCCTGCGTGACGACCTCGCAGACCACCCCAACCCAAACCCGAACATCCGAATTTCGGGTAGGGAGGGTGCGGGCTTCATATGTGTTCCCCGACCCCCCACACTGGGAATGGAGGGCAATTTGGGGCCTTCGGGTTGGGTTGGGGTGGTTGGGTGGGTGTTGCATGCGAGGAAGGGCATGGAGAAGGGGGGACGCCCGAAATGGCTACGGAAAAAAGGGCACATTGCCCAACAACAAACGTTGTCCAAAACCAGCAGCGGCCGCTATTGGGCAGGCGGCGTTCTGTCTTCCGTGAACAGAGCCCGCGGCGGCGCGGACAGCAGCTCCTGATAAACATGATCGGGGATCTTCTGACCCGGGTTAATCCACACCCGGGTCAGTCAGCCCTTGCAGGATCGAGCAAGATCCTGCAAGATCCTGCACCCACACCCGGGTCAGCGCGAAGGATCCTGCAAGATCCTGCAGGATCCTACACCTAAACCCGTGTCAGTGCGACCCTGGCCCTGCAGGATCCTGCAACATCGGGCGCTCTGGCTGACCCCCGTTTGCATTGACCCCCGTCTCAAGGCTCCCGACATAAGCAGGTATTGCTGCTGCTGGCGACTACGATGACGACGACGACGACGACGACGACGACGACAACGACGACGACGACGACGGCGACGGCGACGGCGACGGCGACGACGACGACGACGACGACGAGACGACGAAGAAGACGACGGCGACGACGACGATGACGATGGCGATGACGATGACGTCGGGCAGCGTACCCAATCTCTCCGCACCAATCTCGATCGCCCCGAGGCATGGAGAGGGGGCAGGGCCGCCTGGGATCCCAGGACTCCGGAGGCCCAGTGCCAGGGGAGCCGCCCCCGACGCCCGGAAGCCTGAGCACTCGGGCGGTGGCTCGGCTTCGCTCCGGGGCCTCCGAGGCCGCCTGGCGACAGCGAGGCGTTCTCAGACTGCCGCACGGGCGAAGCTTATGAAGAACATTTGTCACAGGCGCAGGCCGCCTTCCGAGAAACAAAAGGACGATCTCGCACCAGCAAGCGCGCTCAACTTTACCAGCCTGGAACATATCCTTATCCCTATGTTGGGCATCGCCTCCTCACGATGGCGATCTTAGGGATTCCCTCAGTTTCTGGGGGTGCATCCCTGAGATTGTCATCGCCTTTTGGCGTGTCAATCTTAGGGATAGGGATAAGTTCGAGGCTGGTGACAACTTTCGCCCCCCGCGTTGACGCCACCCCCAGGTGGAGCTGCAGGAGGGAAGGCCCTGGGCACGGGTCGGAGCCCGGGCACTCCGTGGGCACACGGGCGCGCCGCACCGCCCGGAGCCGGAGAGCTCGGCTGCAGGTGCGACTCGGGCCCTCCGAGGCCAGAATTTTGGGAGTCCAGCCCAGGAGGAGGAGGAGGAGGAGGAGGAGGAGGAGGAGGCGGAGGAGGAGGAGGAGGAGGAGGAGGAGGAGGAGGAGGAGTGGGAGGAGGAGGAGGAGGAGGAGGATCCACAGGGTTTCCCCAGGGGGCGCCCGGAGCCCCTGGGCGCCCCTAACATTGGCATCCCGACCAGTGCTCCCAAAGGCATGCTTGCTGCTCTGGCCGCAGTCCCAACACACCCAGACTCGAGGAGGCCCCAAGCACCCCTGGGTCCGCGGAGGGGCACCCCCGAGGGGAGCCGCCCGCCGGAATGCGAATTTCCGAGAGGGCCCAGAAGCCCCCCTGGACTGCCTGAGAACGCCACGGGACGGACCAAGACCGCCCGATGATGGCTCCAAGATGGCTCCAGGACGGCCTCAGACAACACCCGCCCAGACGCCCCCGAGATGGTTCAGACGAGCCTCTTCGGGGGAGCTCGGCAGAAACATCGGCGTCGCGCCTGAGACGGGCCCGAGATCCCCGACGGACCCCCAACGGGCCGACAACTGGCCCCCAGGAGGGCCACAAACAGGGTACCGAGAGGGCCTCAAGAGACACCGCAAAGAAGCCATCAAGAAGCATTCAAAATGGTGTTAAGAAGGGAGAGGGGAGCGGAGGAGTTGGAAGGAGGGAAGTCGAGCATAATGAGGCTGCGGACAAAGAAGGGGTGTCGGAAGTCTCGCGCCAGTTCATGCGGCTGCTGAAAGCCGGCCTCAAACTCAGCCTGTTTCCTGCTGCGTTGGTGCGTAGCCACGGTGTCAAACACGCATCAAAAGAAGAACGGCACGCATTTCATCACCCCCCCTCCCCCATGACACTTTGCGAGGGGAGCTACACTGCCGCTGCGGGGGGGGAGATCTAAATAAGGAGCTCCCCGCCTTTGATCAATCTCGTCCAAGATGGCCCCAAGATGGCCCCCGAGGCTCCCAAGGATGTCCCAGAACAGCCCCAAGAGGCTCCCAAGAGGCTCCCAAGAGGCTCCCAAAGGAGGCCCCAAGATGGCCCCAAGAGGCTCCCAAGAGGCCCCCCAGATTGGCTCCCAAGAGACCCCAAGGAGGCCCCAAGAGGCCCCCCAAGGTACCCAAGACGCCCCAAGAGGCCTCGGCGAGAATACAAAAATCACTAGTTTTACAACAGTTGTGGCCACATGTTGACCTCCTGGGGGGCCCGAATGTACTACGTCCCCTCCTGTCATCGATCTCCTCCAAGATGACCCAAAAAACTCCTAAGGGTGCCCCAAGACGGCTCCGAGAGGTGCCCAGGAGGCTCCAAGAGGCCCCCAAGAGGCCCCCGGAAGCCCCCAAGGTGCCCCAGAGAGGCTCCCAAGAGACCCCCAAGAGATCCCAAGAGGCTCCCCAGAGGCACCCACGACGCCCCAAGGGGCCCCTGGGACTGCCAAAAAAAACCCAAGACACTCCAAGAGGACTCCACGGAGCTCCCGGAAAAAATTCGAGAGACCCCGAGAGGCATCCAAGAGGTTTCTGGCCTTTCGGTTCGCCCTCCTCCTCCTCCTCCTCATCATCAGCAGCATCAGCATCAGCATCAGCACCAGCACCAGCACCAGCATCAGCATCATCATCAACATCATCAACAACAGCATCATCATCATCAGCATCAGCATCATCATCATCAGCAGCAGCAGCATCAACAGCAGCAGAGTTGGCCGCATCCTCAGCAGCATCATCATCATCATCATCATCAGCAGCAGCAGCAGCATAATCATCATCATCATCATCATCATCATCATCATCATCATCATCATCATCATCATCATCATCATCATCATCATCATCATCATCATCATCATCATCATCATCAGCATCATCATCATCATCATCATCATCATCAGCATCATCATCAGCAGCAGCAACATCAGCATCATCAGCATCAGCATTAGCAGTATCAACATTATCAACATCATCAGCAGCATCGTCAACATCAGCAGCAGCATAATCAGCCTCATCATCAGCAGCAGCATAAGCATCATCATCATCATCATCGTCATCATCATCATCATCATATCATCATCATCATCATCATCATCATCATCATCATCATCATCATTATCATCATCATCGGCATCATCACCATCATCACCATCATCAGCATCATCATCATCAGCATCATCATCATCATCATAATCATCATCAGCAGCAGCATCATCGTCATCGTCATCCACTTGTTCCTCCTCCTTCCTCCTTTCCCTCCCCCTCCCCCTCTCTCTCCTCCTCCTCGTCCTCCTCCCCCCTCATCCTCCTCCTCGTCGTCCTCATCATTCTCCTCCTCCTCAGCATCATCACCACCACCACCACCACCATCATCAGCAGCAGCAGCATCAGCAGCATCATCATAATCATCAGCCTAATACTCATCATTAACAGCATCAGCAGCAGCATCATCATCAGCAGCAGCATCATCGCCATCCTCATCCTCATCCCTATCCTCATCCTCATCCACTTCCTCCGCCATCCTGCCCCCTCATAGGGGTACGGCGTCGTGCCCAGCCCTGTACTCCACTGCTGACTCACCCACATACACCTGATCAGGGCAACTCGTCTAGCCATCGTTGCTGGATGGGTTGGTGAGGTTACGGAGAGCGTCTAGAATATTCCAAGAGTTCAAGGAGAGCTAGTACGGTCTGTGGGGACAAAGACGGACGGCCAAGGAAGGCCCCCACGCTCGTCTGGCGATGCTCATCGTCGCAGCAACCTGCTAGAACCAGCAGCGGGTTCCGCTGGCTTCCCCCCAAGACAAACCGAGCATTCCTGGAGAGTGCTCGCGAAGGGCTGTGGTTTGGAAAAGGGCGGGACGGGCAAAAGAGAGGGAGGAGGCAGGGACAGCGGAAGGACAGGAAACTGCAAGGGAAGAGAAAGAAGAAAAGCTGCATAACACACAAACAGTCGCGGGTCCGTACGCATCTCTGATTTATGTGTATGCAGTTGTGCCCGTATTCGGGGGAGGGGGAAAAGAAGGGCTCCTTGGCGACCCCGACCAGCACAAGCATCGAGACAATCATCCAGATGGCAAAGAAAGCACCCACCCACTGGAAGGACGTGCGGGCATCTGCCACCTCCCAGGTACCCTGCAGCTTCACAACAAGCCGTCGCTGCTCTCTCATCACCATACCCTATCCGTCTCCTCCTTCTCTTCCCCCTCCTCCTCCTCCTCCTCCTCCTCCTCCTCCTCCTCCTCCTCCTCCTCCTCCCCCTCCTCCTCCTGAGGCTGCTCCTCATGCCTGCGTTCCGTTATTCTGGCTCGCGTTCCATTCTCTCCCACAGATTGCGCAAACCCCCATCATCAGCAGAGTCCTTGTCATTGTCCTCTCGATCTTGTTAGTTCTCTCTCTCTCGCTCTTTCTATATATATATATATATATATATATATATATATATCCCTCTCTCTTTCTCTCCCTCTCTCTCTCTCTCTCTTTCGCACCGCCCTCGGTGCGGCCACGGGCAGGTCGAATCCGGGCCGCGAACACACAGCGCAACACCCGCGGGGGCGCGGCAGCCTCACGTCACCAGCCCGCGCATCAGGACCGCGAGCCCCATCTCGCCGCACGGCGGTCCGCCGTCGAGCGGCCGCGCGCACCCCCAGCTGGCGTCGCCACAGGGGCCAGGCGCGCGGCCCGAGGAAGGGCCCAGCCACCAGCACGCCGGCCGCGCCAGCGCGGGGGCAGCCGGGTCGCCGCTCAGCCTGCGCCCAGCGGTTTCCCCGTGCAGGGGGCCCCGCCCATCCTGGAGGCGGGCGAGGTACAGCCGACGAGCCCTGCGGCAGGCGGCCGACGCACGCCGCCTCGAGGCCCTTGGCGCGATGCGCCCCCTGCAACTTGGCGAAGGCCCCGTCTCTCTCTCTCTCTCTCTTTATCCCCCTTTTTTCTCTCTCTCTCTCTCTCTCTCTTTCTCTCTCTCTCTTTCTCTCTCTCTCTCTCTCTCTCTCTTTCTCTCTCTCTCTCTCTCTGTTTCTCTCTTTCTCTCTCTCTCTCTCTCTCTCTCTCTCTCTCTGCACACACAGGTTTATGTTGTATATATCATTGTCTCTCTCTATCTCTCTCTCTCTCTCTCTTTCTCTTTGTGGCGCTTCGCGCCAGGCACCTTGGTCCTTCAAGCTTCGCAAATGTTGGCACTTGGTGTCGTCATCCATGGCTTTTGACGTTTGGCCGCTTCTGCTCAGGTCCCCTTTTGCCAGTTTCTTACTTGCTCGCACTCTCGATTTTCAGGGGGACGTAAGACCTGGGTACAGTGGACTCGGAAATCCCCGACGAGGTCGTCAAAAAAATGACGAGGCCGAGCCTGCATTTTGACGAGGCCTCCCGCTGCAGACATCCCACGAAACTCCTCCTCGTCAAAATCCGAGGCGCGGTCGTCAAAAAACGATGGCGAACCCGAGTCCTGGCAAACCCGGGTCTTACGCTCCCCCGAGATTTACATGTTCGTGCGCCACCTCGGGCCGCTTTGGCCCCAGACCGCTTGGCGCACACGCCGCCCCACTGGCCACGGGCCCTGCAGGTTGGCTACCGCCCCTGCCCAGCAGCTCGCGCCACCCCACCTCGGGGGGCGCCGCCGCTGCGCCGCCCTCCCGCTTTGCCCCCCGGCTGCCCACAGTTGAGCAGGGACCGACCGTCCCGGCATTCCTACAGTCCTACCACGACATGTTCTTAGAACCCAAAAAGTGTTCGAAGAACAAAAAAAAATGTTCTTAGAACAGATTCCGAATGTGTTAAAACAAGACAGACTCCGTCAGAAATGTTCAAAAAACCGTTCCTGGAAACCACAAGAAGCTCTTCGAACATTGTTTGGTAGGGCTATAGGCGAGCCAGGACGCGTCGCCGCTGCCCACGGGGAGCCCGCGCCCAGCTCCCGCTCCCGCTGGGCGCCGCCCTGCCCTCGCCTGTGATGCGTGCACCGGCCCTGGGCTCCGCTCGCTGCGTCCTCGCCCTCCCCCCCGCCGCCCCTGGCCGTAAGTCGGGCCGGTCCCCCTACAGGGGAACTTTCGACGAAAATTGAAAATACCCCAAAAAATATTCAAAAAAAATCCAAAAATAGTCTGGGGTCTATTTTCTGATTTTGACCTTTTGGGGGCATTTCTGGGGTATCCTTAATTTTTCGTCGAAAATCCCCCCGTAGGGGGACAGGCCCCACCTAACCCTGGCCTCGCGCGCGGCCTTCGCGCGCCGCTCGACAAAATGGCTTGAGCTGGACCCTGAATTCTGGTTTTACTGTGGGGCCATGGTAGCGCTAAAGCCAAGGTCAGGATGCGAGTTGGGGATGGAGCTGGAGCTCCCGTCAGGGTTCGGGAGGTGGTGGGATTCGGCCTCGACTGGGGTCAAATTAGGGTCAGAGTCAAGACTAGGACTAAGTGTAAGCAGCGCTGCTGGACTTCGATATCACCTGCCCAAGTCTCAAACGTGAAGGTTCGCGGACTATCCTACCGCTACTGATACGTGGGCCTGAGACTGAGCCTGAGCCCTGGACTCGCGAGGAAGCAGGTAGTGAAGCCGCTGCGCACCGCATATGTTATTCGCTGGGGCGGTGAGCCCTCGGCTTGAGAAACATTTAAAAATAACTGCCTGCCAAAACATCCCCACTAAACCCGAAGTCGCCGTCTAAACCCGAAGTCGCCGTTGGGCCCGTCGATTTCCAGTGGGGGGGGCATTCCGGAGCATTACGAGAACGATGGAACCCGTGCACCCCCCAACCCGAAATCTGGAGGAATCTGGGGCCTTCGGGTTGGGTGGGGGTGGTTTAGGGGGCCACATGCGAACCCTACCCCTACCCCCCACGATTTCTGAGGGGGAGGGTGGGGTTCACTTCATTCAGGAGCTCCCGAGCGAAGTGAACCCCACCCTCCCCCTCAGAAATCGTGGGGGGTAGGGGTAGGGTTCGCATGTGGCCCCCTAGGTTTGGTAAACGGTGGTGGAAATGGGGCAAGGCCGGTGTGAACCATGACATACAGTCATCGTGCTACCATAAGGAACGCTTAGTATTAAGTCGGGCGTGTCACTCTACAGGGGGATTTTCGACGAAAAAATTTAAAAAAAAAATAATCAAAAAAACTCCAAAATATCCAACATCTGAAAAATAGTCCCCATCTTTTGTTTGCACTATTTTTGAACATTCCCCCTGGTAGAGGGACAGGCCCGCCTTAAGCCTGGTAGAGAGCGAAGGGTCTTCCGGCCACGGAGGAGCCCCTCCCGAGCCGAAAGCGGCCCTACTTCGCAAGGGCTCCTAAGTTCGCGCTTCGCGCTGCGCGAAGCGCGAAGCGCGAATAACTTCGCGCTCTCGCGCCGCCCCCCAAGGGGGAGAATAGGAGGGCGAGGAGGAGGGGGAGAGGGAACGAGGACCGCGAAGCGCGAAGCGCGAATAACTTCGCGCCCTCGAGGGAGCCCTTGACTTCGGCAGCTCGACTGGCACTTCTTCTTGCGCGGGCGCGAGGCCTCGGGTCCGCGAACAAGCAGACGGAGAAGGGGCCGGCCGACGCGCGCGGCACTCTGCTCCACGTGGGGTGGCTCGAGGAGGGGGGGAGGGGGCGGCAAAACAGTGCACAGCCGCGTGCACTGGCAGTGGCTCGGCAGGGACAGGAGAGTGCCGCCACCGCCCTGCGCCACCACCGCCACCCTCCCCACCCCTCGACCATGGAGGGATGAAAAAACGACCCTACCCTGGGTTACAAGTGCGCGGTCTGTAAACCTACTGGGAAACCCCAAAGCCTAGAGCCGCCAGGACGCGGCATATCACGCAGGGTTTACCCTGTCAGCCCACAGGAGTTTCAGCGCACAGCGCCTCGTAAACCAAGGTAGGGGCGTTTTTTTTTCTGCCCTTGAAACCAGGCACACGCCGACGTGGATCAGGGATACGTGGATCTGGCGCGTGGGCGCCAGATCCACAGATAAGGCAACGCACCCCCGAAACGTGAAGCCCATGCCGCCCGACTTGGCGACGGGGGAGGGGGGGGTGTCTGGCCCCAGACCTCTGCTCCATGGCGACTGGTTGCAGCAGTGCGTCCAGTACGGGGGAGAATCCGCCTGCCTGAAGCAGGCGCCAAAGACAGCCAAGATCTACTCCACGGGGGGAGGGAGGGGGGTGTGCGAGGGCCCGCGCCGATCAGCAAAACAATGAACAAGAAAACGATCACTACAGTGCGGGCGCGGCCGCAAGAAACCCTCGCAAGAAACCCAACCCTGGGAACCCGTGCGCGACGTGCACCTGAGGGGAAACCTGAGGCACTCTGAACGCAGCAGCTCCTTCAACGGCTGCGGGAAGTCACCGCGCAGCGCGAGGAGCGAAGAAACCCAGGATACCCTGACGAATAGCACATGGTTTCTTGATGCGCGCCCCCACTATAATCCATGTTCCCGCTTCATCGAATCAAAATGGATGCCAATTGCAGCGATGCCGCCCTCCCACGCTCGCCTGACCGCACGGGTCACTGAAAAGGCTGCCTCAGGTCCCCGTGCCCTTTCTCCTCCTCCTCCTCCTCGTCCTCCTCCTCCTCCTCCTCGTTCTCCTGCCCCTCCTCCTCCTCCTCCTCCTCGTTCTCCTCCTCCTCCCCCTCCTCTTCATCGTCCTCCTCCGCCTCCCCATGGCTGTGTAGAGGCCGCCCTCTGCCTTGCTCTCTCGCTCTTTCTCTCTCTGTCTAACTCTCTCTCGCTCTCTCTCTCTCTCTCTCTCTCTTTCTCTCTCTTGATTATCTCTCTCTCTCTCTGATATGTACATGTGTATATATAAATGTGTGCATATACATACATACATATATAGATATATGTACATATAGAGATGCGTATGTGTGATTATGTGTATGTGTATATGTGCATTGCGTCTCCACTTCGCGCAAGGTCACATCACCCATATTACCCGTCACCGCGCACGCGGCATCGCACGTCGAAGTACAACTACAAAATAAATCATTCTGTTCCACGGTAGATAAGGCGCCCAGCACCTGTCGAACAATGACGAGCGAAGGGGCGGACAAATGCAAGGACGCTGGAGATGCAACTCGCACTGCCCCTGGCCCGAAATGCTCACGAGTCGATGGCACAACAGCGATGATGACTGCGACAATCAGGCAGCGATCCCAGACCCCGACGTCATGCTTTTTCACAACGTCGACCCCGAAAGGCCTCGACCCCTTCCCCGGGACTGGTTGTTTATGCTGAGTCGTTTTTGACGTTCCCGAGGCCCGGAGAGGGCACCTGGAGGCCGAAAATAGCGAAAAATCTTCTGTCGTGATTTTGTCACAACCTGAGGGGGTCCGAGACAAGGAGACCCTCAACAATATGCGTCGTGTATCGCCACTTTCTCCTCCTCGTCCTCAGCACCATCCTGGGGCCGCCCAGGGCATCTCGGGGTCCTACTTGGGGAGATTCAAGGGGCCCAGGGCCCAGGGACACACAAATAAACAGACACAAATCCCAGGATTCCCATATTTTCCATATGTTCTGGATTTTGCTCTTCCCCTCCCCTTCCAATGTTTTTCATATTCTCATTGGGATCGACGATTATCTGTGTCTGTGCTTTTTTCCCCTCCTGCGTTTGGGCCTCTTGCGGCCTCACGGGACGGAAAAGGGTGGCATGGCAAACAGCGCCGAATGGGCAAACACTGAACCCTGACGTTTCAAAATCTGCTGCGCTCAGGGGCCTCCCAGAGGCCTCGTGTGCGCCAGGTGGTCTGGTCGATTGACCCATGGTAGGGGGCAATCGCGTGTCATCTTAGCACCCTTGGTGGCCTGGGTCATAGGGGAGCAAAAAGTGACATAAAATAAAAAATCGGAGGTCCGCGCGGATTTCTCGGATCGGCGATGGACCCCCGTCCCTGGCGCGCGGAGCGCGCCAGAGGCGGCGCCGGAGGCGCCGCCGGGGGGCCCCAGCGCCGATCGGAGAAATCCGCGCGCGCGGACCTCCGAGTTATCATGTTTATGTCACTGTTTGTTCCCCTGGAGTCGGCCGTGTTGGAAGCCATCTCGGGCTCTCGAAGGCCCTCAGGGATGCGCCAGTGCGCCGGGAGAACCTCGAGAGGGGGCGGTGCCGGCGAGCGGCGTCCGCCACCGTATGCACCGAGCGGAGTGACCTAGGGGAACAAAAAGTAACATAAACGTAACAAATCGGAGGTTCGCGCGGATTTCTCGGATCGGCGCTGGGGCCCCCCGGCGGCGCCTCCGGCGCCGCCCCTGGCGCGCTCCGCGAGCCAGGGGGGTCCAGCGCCGATCCGAGAAATCCGCGCGGACCTCCGATGTTTTATGTTTATGCCACTTTTTGTTCCCCTATGACAGAACCCTCGATCTGGAAGGTTGCTCATGACCCTCGAGGGGCGCCCCGCAGTGCCCGATTCACGCGATTGGTGGGTGCCGCTGTAGCTTTCGGGGGCTTCTCGCACGACTTTTCAGAAGGCCTCAGGAGAGTGGTTCTGACTCTGAACTGCCAGCGCGCTCGGAGATCGTCCCAAGGGCCCGTCTGGGGGCTCTCTTGAAGCTCTCTTGGGCCATCTCGGGGGCCCAAAGAGGCCCCCACAAATCACCCAAGGACAGAGCTGAAGCCGTGAAGAGGGGCCCAGAAAGAACCAAAGACGGCCCAAGCAGGACCCACAAGGGAGATCTCGAACTGACATGTGGGATCCATTCACCTCAAGATGGCCCTCGAAACCGCCAGCAGTCTTTCAAGCGGCCCCCAAGAGGCCCACTGGAGGCACCCAAGAGACCTCTCCAAGAGGATGGGGCGTTTTTATTGAAGATCTTCCTAGCGACCTCCAGCTGTCTTTGGACCGTCTTGGAGCCTCCCGGATGCATGCTGGAGATGCGGTCTTGGAGGTATTGGGGGGCCGTTTGGTAGCCGTCTCAGATGGCCTCCTGGGCTATGGGCAAGATTGAAGTCTCGTCGTTCGGGCGCCAGTTTGGGGGCCTCTTGGGCTGCCTTGGGGCTCTCTTGGGGGCTGCGTGGGCCGTACCAGGGATGTCTTGAGCTCGTCTCGGGCCGACTTGGGGCCCTCTCTCTCTTTCTGCGCACCTTGCACCCCTCTGGGGGGCCCTCTTGAGCCATCGTGGGCCCTTCCTGGGCCCTTATAGGGCCATGCTGCAACTCATTGTATGCGTCGGGGGGGAGGTTTGGGGCCTCTTAGCCCGTCGAAGGCGCCCTGAGGAGCGAAAAAGTAAAGATGCTAAAATTAGCCTAACGAAAAACCCAACCATATGCAGTAATGAAAAACGCTAGCGCAGCCACCGGGGCCTTCGGTGGAGCCCCCATATCGGGCCACGAAGCGTGTGAGTGGTGCCGAAAGGGGTGCGGCGGAGTTCCCTACGGGGCCTCGAGCTGTGTGAGGAGTGTGCCGATATGGGCGCGGCGGGCGCATCCGAACGCAGCCACTTGGGCCGTCGGTGGAGCTCCCTATGGGGCCATGAAGCGTGCGAGGGGCGTGGAGACATGGGCGCAGCGGGCGCATGCGAGCAGAGCCACTGGGGCCTCCGGTGGAGCTCCCTATGGGGCCACGAAGCGTGTGAGGGGTGTGCCGAAACGGGCGCGGCGGGCGCATGCGAACGTAGCCACTGGGACCTTTGGTAGAGCTCCATCATATCGGGCCACGAAACGTGCGAAGGGTACGCCGAAATGGATGCGGCGGGCGCATGCGAACGCAGCCACCGGGGCCTTCGATGGAGCTCCCTATGTTGAGCAGGGACCGACCGTCCCGGCATTTCAATAGGCCTACCACGAAATTTCTTATAACCCAAAACGTTCTAAGAACAAAAACAATGGTCTTGGAACATCAGCCCGATGCGTTAAAACACGACAGTCCCAGCCAGAAATGTTCTAAGAACACTTCGTGGAGTCCACAAGAGGTTCTTAGAACATTGTTTGGTCGGCCTAAAGGCACGCCAGGACGCTTCGCCACTGCTTGACTATGGGGCCACGAAACGTGCGAGGGGTGAGGGGTGTTGCGAAATGGGTGTGGCGGGCGCATGCGAACGCTGGCGTTTGGGCCTTCGGTGGAGCTCCGTATCGGGCCACGAAACGTGTGAAGGGTGTTCCTAAATAGGCGCGGCGGGCGCATGCGAACGCACTCACTGGGGCATTCGGTGGAGCTCCCTATGGGGCCACGAAACGTGTGAAGAGTGTTCCGAAGGGGATGCGGCGAGCGCATGCGAGAGTAGGCACTGGGGCATTCGGCGAAGCTCCCTATTGGACCACGAAACACGAAACGTGTGAGGTATGTGCCGACGTGGGTGCGGCGGGCGCATGCGAACGTAGCAACTGTGGCCTTCGGTGAAACTTCCTATGGGGCCACGAAATATATGAGTGGTGTGCCGAAACAGAGATATGTGGGTGGCAGAGGTAAGTATGGGAGGAGGGAGCATGGGGAGAAGGAGCAGAGGAGAGGAGGGACGCAGGGCGCTGTCTCTTCAAAACAAAGCCCCAACACCACAGGATTGTTGGGAACGATAAGATGACACACGGAAAGACAGTGGCTCTCGCCTCCTGCGGGGACTCCGAGGGATGCTTTTCGGGCCCCCTCGGCCCGTCAGGGGGCCTCTTTGGGCAGTCTTGGAAGGGTGCGAGCCGAACTTGCCTTGGGCCCTCCTGGGCCGCTCTGGCCGCGTGCTCGTGCCCGCCAGAACAGCTTGGGAGCGGCCCGGGGGGGAGGCCCGGGAGTCGGCGGTGGACAAACCTCCCTTTAATAAACCTCCCCTCAGTGAAAACGGCCTGGGACCGAAACCGACGGACCTGGACCCGCAAAAGTGACGGCCGCGCGGCCCTCTCGCAAACCAAGAACGGCCAATTCACTAATCGACGTGTCAGGGCAGGAGGTCTGACAATCTCCGAGGGAGGCCGCGGGAGGGGGCCTGGCCTCACAGACACACAGACTGCGCCACACAGACTGCGGGCCCTCTGGGCGTCGGCATGGCAGCTCCGCGAGCGCTGTCGCCGCCCCGTCGCCGCCTCGTCGCCGCCCGCCGTCCAGGCCCGCTCGTCGGTCTGGCGGCTCGGTGCTCGCTGTCGCCGCCTCGTCGCCGCCTCGTCGCCCCGTCGCCGCCCTTCGAGGGCACCGCAGAGGCTGCACGGCCAGTGCTGCACTGCAGGGACTGCGCCGCACACGTGGACTGCGCGGCACAGACTGCACAGAGCCTGGAGCGCACGACGGCGGCTGCACCACACAGGTCGCACGACACGGGCTGCACCCCATGGGGCTGCACAGCGCAGGTGGCACCACACACGCACACACACACACACACACACTGCGCCACACAGACTGCGACAACCTATGATTGCACCACGTGAAGTGCACGGCATGTCCGCCGCCGTGCCCGCACGGCGTGGGCGCGTCAGAGCTAGGACGCTGGTCTGTTGTCTGGGGGGCTCTGTGCAGGTTTAACGGGCACCCCCCTCGCCGCACGCGTGCAAGACAACAAAAAAAACGCACTTCTGAAATGGCGTTCTGGCGGTCGTCTCGGCCTCCAGAAAGCCAAGATGGCCTCCAAGACGGCTTCCAAGACAGCCAACACGACAACAAGACTGCTCACGATGGCCCAAGACAGGTCAATAGCCCCCCCGAGAGAGCCTCAAGACGGCTCACAGTATATCAAGAGGGCCTCAAAACGGGCCAAGAGGCCCCGAAGACGACCCGACAGAGCTCCAAAAGGCCTTCCTGGAGAGCCCGAGGAGGCCAAAGCTATTGATTGTCCGACGGTGTTTGAACGATTGTGAGGTTCTGACATGTTCGGACTTCCGACCGCCCGAGACGGCGCAAGAGGCTTGCAAAAGGCCTCCCAGATAGCTCTAAGACGACGCAAGAGGCTCCCAAGAAGGCCCCAAGTCGGCCCAAAAGGACCCAAAGATCGCTCAAGGGGCTCCCAAGAGGGCCGCAAGACGGCCGTAAACCGCTCCGGGAGAGCAGCAACGCTGCCTACAAAAAGCCCCCAAGGCGGCCTCCGTAGGCGTTAGGCGGGCCAGACT